AAAAAAAAAAAAAAAAAAGACACCCCCAAATTCAAAGAATCAATTAAAAAATGGGTACCTGAAACAGATACTTCTCAAATGATGAAGTAGAAACAGCAAATAAATATATGAAAAAATGTTCAATGTTACTGGCCATTCAAGAAATGCAAATTAAAACAAAACTGAGATTCCATCTCACTCCAGAAAGAACAGTCATCATCGAGAAATCAACCAATAACAAATGCTGGTTAAGCTGAGAGGGTGGGGGTGGGGAGCCCTTCTCCACTGCTGGTGGGAGTGTAGACTGGTACAAATACTATGGAAATCAGTGTGGGGTTCCTCAACACACTAAAATTAGAGGTTCTGCTTGACCCAGCTATTCCTCTTCTAGGCATCTTCCTAAAAGAGTTAAAAGCATCATACCACAGTGATATATGCATACCCATGTTTATAGCAGCACAATTTGTAATAGTTCAATCTTGGAAACAGTTCATATGCACATCAACAGATGAATGGATAAAGAAAACGTAATGTTTATATACAATGGAGTACCACTCTGCCATAAAGAAGAATAAATGAATCATTTGTAGGAAAATAGATGCACCTTGAGACCATAATTTTAAGTAAAATAAATAAGACACAAAAGTTTAAATACTGCCGGGTGTGGTGGCACATGCCTGTAATCCCAGCCCTCAGGAGGCTGAGGCAGGAGGACTGCCCTGAGTTTAAGGCCAGCCTGCATTATATAGTAAGTCCTTGTTTTCATTTTTTTAGAAAAGTAAACACGGCATCGTTTCTCTTATGTGAGAAATCCTAAGGGGCAAAATGGAGGATAGATATTGGGAATAGTAAGAACATACTCAACTTGGAAGAGGAACAATAGTAAGAACATACTCAAATAGGAGGAGGGAGAAGGAAAGGAGGGAAAAGATTAAAAAACAAAAAATAGAAGGGAAAAATGGAAACAAAGCTTCTGTAAGTGGGGAGGGGAAGGGCTGAAGGGAGAGGAGAATGGGAAAGAAAGAATTAAGATATGTTATGTGTAGGTACAAATTTCTTATGATTCATGTGAGTACTATGTATGGCAAATATATATTAATAAATTTTTTTCTAATTCCATGTTTGAAAAAGGTTGGTAGCCACATAAATCTGAAATATAGAAAAAAACATACTTTTGAGAGTCTTTCTATTCCACAACTTCCCAACTGCACTGTTCTTCGAATTATGCCCTTTTAATTTCTTTGATCCTGCCAGAAAAAGAAGCTTCTATTAGGCACTGATTCAGTGTGACAGAGTGCAACAGAGAATCAAACAAGGGCTAGAAAATACGACATGGAAGTGACAGGAAGTTGTTCTTGGCTTTGGAAAATGCTGAGGTCTTCAACTCACAGGAATATAAAACTTATCACTACAAAATTAGTCATAAATAGATGTGCAACAAGCAACAGTAGTACTTTTATCACATTAGAATATAAAAACACAAAAATTTAAGAAGACAAAATTTAGGGTAGGGGATGTGACTCAGTGGCAGAGTGTTTACCTGTTATGTGTGAGGCCCTGGGCTCAATCCCCAGCACTAGGAAGCGAAAGACCAGAAAGGATAAGAGAAAAAGTAACACAAGCAAATAGCCTGGCTTTCCTTTTTATTTAATCAAAGACTGGTAGATAAACATAAATACAGCACAATTACTTCAGATCATTCTTCATATTGTACACAGACCAGTGAACGGGATCTGAAAGAAACCTGCAGTCAGCAGTGAAATGCACACAGCACTTTCTTCCCTTGCTCAAGAAAAGAAAAGAAAACAACAACAAAAAAACAAAAACAAAAACTTAGAATCTGATCAGCACATACTCTCCTGTGACAGATGATTCAGACATAAATAGTGGGTGTAAAGAAACTATATGCTAACTTATGTATAACCTTTGTTAATGAAAAAACATAAGCAGCCGTAATGATTAGGATACATTCAGTTACTGGTAACTAGTAGTGCCTGAAAGGGCATCATCAGAAGAGAAATCGTGCTGCAGAGAAAAGCTATATATACATACACAATGAGAAAATAAACTGTAAGATTAACGCATGCATGTTTAATACTGGAAAAATCACAGCCCTCCAAAATTTCTCCATGTTATAAAAGCCCTCTGCACTCAACTAAAATTAAAATGATCTTAAAAGGATAATACTTGTAAAGTTTAAGTCTTTTAGCCACAAAACTGCAATGGAAATAAATGTTCAGAGTCATTTTCAAAACAAAACAAAAAATCTATTCTTCTGATGACATGCATGATTAAAAGGTCTATGCAAGATACATTGCTCTACATTCCCAGTGACTAGGAAAAAAAAACCTCAAGTCAATTTTTAGTTTGCAGATGGTCAAAGGATTTTGTATTCCAGCAGGAGTTCAAATCTTCTGTATTTTTTCACCAACAACTACTGGATTTTCTTTTCTGATTTTCTCAGCAGCATCAGCTTTGTAATTGTAAGAGCAATTATGCACATCTGAGTAACGGTGTACACCACAGTAAACATTTCCACAGCGGCATTCAAACCCTGAAAAGGGATTCAGACACAAGTATGAGTTGGTGGCAGGGCAAAATACTGTTTTTTGGCATAACTAGTGTTAAACAGCACTGATAAATTAGGGCACCAATCTAAAGAATTATTTCAAAGATACAGTTTCACAAACTACATTTCCAAAGTTCACAAGCAGAACTTCATTTCTTGTTCCGATCTACAAACTAAGATTTGTACTAGAGCAAGCAGTAAGATCAAGGATCTTATAGCCACAATTACTTTCTTAAAAATAGGGTTGCTAAACTGAGAATGTGAAATATTTTTTAAAATCAAAGACTGTAATGTATAATTAAGCATACAGTCAGAAGGCAATCTTAACATTTAAGAGAGATCAAATAAAACCTTTAAAAGAACTGTTAATAGCACAGTTAAAAAAAACCAAAACAAAACCAAAACCAGAACAGTATCCCACCCCCCACCCTCCATCAGCTTTCCTCTGCTAACCACCTGGAGATGTGAATATACTTTGGGGCAGGATTTAAGAGGATGACATCTAGCGTTAGGGTCCCTACGTGTCAATCTACTCACTAATGTAGGCCAATTACTTAGGCCACTCCGAGCCTGTTTTTGCAACTGTAATTCTGGAGCAAGTTACTGTAAGGGTTAAAGGAAGAATGTACTAAGTGTTCAGCTTTCAGTAAACACACACAGATGCCTTTAATTCCTTTAATTTTGGAGAAATGCCAAAGAATTGAAGCCAAAATAGAGAATAACAGGTATGCACAGTCTTATTCCCTTGAGGTAAGGTTTTATGTTATGGAATTTGGGAACTGTTGCTTGGGAATCAGTATTTTAAAGATGACCCTGATTTCCTTTACATTTTTTCCCACTTCATATAATGAAAGAAAAATGAAACAAACAACAGTAGACTGGACTGTCAGACTGGACAAGAAATTGCTAAGGCTCAGCTGGTAATCATAAAGTCTGAGAGTTTATGAGATTTAAAAAGATTATATTTGACATGAAATATGTGTATTTTAAAATGTCAGGCTATTATATGAAATATGTGTATTTTAAAATGTATAGCTCAATGACAGAGTGCTTGCCTAGCATGTGCAAGGCCATGGGTTTGATCCTCAGCACCACAAAATAAATAAATGAAGGAATGAATAAATAAAATGTGTTATTTATGTTTGTATTATATATGTATATAGATAGATAACAGAGAGACAGATAGGTATATATATATAGCTAACATATGGGCCAGCTTAAAACATCTTGATATTTGACACTAATCTCTCTTCCTCTTTATCTCCAATCCATTCCTTAACCTAAATTATTGTAAACCAGAAGCACAATTTCTGCTCAAAAATGTCTCTCCTCTCCTCTGTCCACAAGTCAGATTTTATGTAAATTATTCAGCCCATGCGTGGCCATGGTAAACAGTAAACTTGAGTACTAAGGCAACCCCACTCCACCAGTCCAGCCAAGTACCAGCCTCTGCCCCAGGTGTGAACTGCAGTTGCAGCACCCTTCCTCCGCTACGCAGGCCTGAACATCCCGTGCTCCTTCACTTCACAGAGCTTTGGCTCAAGCTCCTTTCTGCCTGAGATGCTCCTATTTCCATCAATTGTCAGTCAGTCCTCCTTACTCAAGACCCAGCTGAAATACCCTGCTTCATGTTCTCAATGTTGTGAGCCCTCTAGGCCTCTAGCCCCCTTCCTTTACATAAATTAATGCTCAGACTCCAGTTACTGAATTCCCGGGGTAATACGCACTTAATGTAAGCTCTTAGCTCAACACTTCCAAACATATTTTTCTCCCTTTCTTAACAGTACTGACAGCTTCATATAGTAGCTAATATATATTACTTACTGTGAGATAGCACCAGACTAGCTTACCGAACAGCTTACAAGTTTTAACTAAGTGAACCTACGTAACCTATGATTAACCTCATTTTAAATGCAGGAAGTACTTCACAGCTAATCTAGTACTTTGCATTTTTCTTTCCTGGAAGGCAGGTGCTTTATCGCCATACTTGTCTAATACTGTCAAATTCAAGCTAAAATAAATTTTTAAAAGTCATTCATTTTACTTTTAGGTATATAATTAAAGGTACTTTTATTTCTTTGAGAAAATTTATAAGCAGGGCATAGTGTATGCCTGTAATCCCAGCTACGAGGGACTGAGCTAGGAGGATCCCAAGTTCAAGGCCAGCCTAGACGACTTAGCAAGATTCTGCCTCAAAATTGAAAAAGGAAAGTCAGTTGGTGTGGTGGCACACACCTGTAATCCCATGAATCTGGGAAGCTGAGGCAGAAGAATTCAAGTTTAACCCCAGCCTATATAAATTAGTAAGACCCTAACTCAAATAAATAAATAAATAGGGCTGGTATACAGCTCAGTGTAAGAAGACCCTATCTCAGATAGATAAATTGACAGACAGATACATAACAGATACATAAATAGATACATACATAGCCTGGTATACAGCTCAGTGTGAGGACTATGGGGTTCAATTCCCAGTACTAGGGGAAAAAAATCAAAAGCCAAAGGGTATTGAACAGTAGCTCTCATGGGAACAAAACCAAGTTAGCTGAAATCAGTAACAGCCATGCATTATTTTAAAACACAATTTCATGCCATGTGATAGAGGCCCTTACCCGTGAGCCCCACTTTCTTTCTGCACATGAGACAGCGGTTCTTTTTCTGTTTTGGTTTTTCAAGGGACTTGCTTTGCTCTTCAGATGGCTGCTGTGCTGTGTCTGACACTGAAGCTGACAAAAACAGGAAAGCGATAAAGTTTAACCGTTTAGTAAGATTTCAGTAGTGGATGACAGCTGTCCTTTCAGCCCACCCTATCAATTCATTATTGAGTAAGTGAGGAATTTATTTACTAGTGTTAACAGATGCTTGTGAGTTACAAAGCTGTAAGATGACCTCTTTTTGGATAAATTTTTGTGCAATGTATACATATACAGAAAATCTAAAATGGATAGCTGTTAATAGTGACTAGAAGATGGATTACAGATTTTCTGCCTTTGGTTTAAATTGTACTTTCAAATCTTTCTAATAATCACGTATTTGACCCTTAAAGACACACACAAGCACCACTTGAGTCTCTAATGCAATGTGTAGGAAAATGGTCATATGCAAACTTAATATTGATCAGGGTCAGAAGAATACAGCTCTCTCAGACAGCCAAATTCTCAGAATGTTTCACACAAAACATTTAAAATGTTAGGGAAAAGATAAACTGATGCCAAGAAATTTAAAGGATTATAATTAAGATAATAAATTGATACCAATATATACTAAAACCAAGATCACATGAACCAAGATTCAAGAAGAAACTGCTGCTCCTTCCTTCCTAAGGGGCTGCTCCCGTCACTAATGACCACAGCCCTCCCGAGTGCTGTCACCAGATCAGAGTTCACAACAGGGACCAGCTAAGGAGACAGCTTATTCCAGAACAGCCCGTAACTTGCCTTGGGCCGTGCTCTCGGCCTCCAAGGAAGCCCTGTGGTGCTGCTCCGCATGGAACTGGCCATGCACACTCCCCATTCGCACTCTGCAAAACACTCCGAAGGGCTCTCCTTTCTCTTCATTCAATCTAGGTCCTCTTAAAAGACCAAAATACAACACCACTTCCTTGCCTCCTCTCCGCTTCTCACCACCCTCACCACACCCCCAGCACTGCGCGTAAGGCCCTCCTCAGTCCGCACTTCCTTTGCACCCCAGCATCTGCCACAGTGCATCATGACGACGTCCTCGCCCGTGTTTCAAGTTCTCTGATGGCATCCCATAGCCCCTTCCTTCAGGATCTTCCTCCTCCTCCTGTTCAGTCAGGCTTGTCACTCTCCAAGGAGACCCGTGCTTCTGCCTTGACACTTCCTCCTCTCACTTTGGGGCCTCCTGGAGCTCTTTTCCAGGTGGCACGTTCCTCCCGCTTCACCTGGCACAGAGACCCTCCCCCGCACCCCCACTGTTCCTACACTAGTCTCACACCCGTGTCACTGCCTCACCTGGCTCACCTGGATACGCTGGGCTTCTCTCTGAGGGCAGGAACCTGTCTCCTTCAGCCCTGTTCCCAGTGCCTATCTTGGTGCCTCTGGCCACTCAGTGAAGAAGTATCTGAAATGACTGAGTTACGTATCTACTGTACTTATGAGCCCTGCTTCCCAAACTACACTGGAAGTGCACAGAGGACAGGGGTGGTGTCCACTGGAATCTCCAGCAGACCATGAACTACATGAAGTAGATACTCGAACATCTGCTTTACAGTAAGTCCCGACTAGTGAACATTTGAGTTGCAGAGTTTCCCAGACACGACTGGACCTCATGTTAGGAACATTCTTAGATGCAAACAAACTGGGGAGGTGGCTCAGGTGTCCGCCAGACACCGTCACACTGTGCTGCCGTGTGCTCGCTGTGCGGTGCGACAGTGCACACTGGTCCAGCGCCCAGTCCGAGCCCAGGGCGTCCGGGAGCGAGAGGGAAAGCAGTGAAGTGAGGGGACGCTGGGAAGCACAAAGCTGTGTACACTGCGCATCGGTGTCAAAGGTGCAGAGACCGGCAGACTGACAAGTGAGCCAACTCACAAACGTTCTCCTAGAACAGAACTCATGTGCAAATGGAGGACTTACTGGACTTAGTGGCTGACTTGCTTGTGTTAAAACATTATCTCCTATCTTAAATAAAACATCACAAACAAGTAAATATGCACTACTGAAGAACTGTACTGTGATTACTCCACTTGGATATACTGAAGCTAGACAAGAGAAAGTTCTAGTAATATAAACATTTAATCTCTGACACAGAACATGGACACATAAAACCTTTTATTTTTATGTTCAATAAACAAATATTCCTAGAATATGAGCTTCATGAGGGCAGAGGATCCATGTCTTTTTCTTTTATTTTTTGATTCAGGCTCTTGCTATGGAGTTCAGGCTAGCCTCGAACTCACAGTGATCTTCCTGCCTCAGTATCCCAAGTGCTGCGATTACAGGCGTGCACCAATGTTTTGTTCGCTGTTATCACTGCCCCAGAACAGTACCAAGTAAGGTTTGATGTGTATAGAACTAAAAAATAGTTTAACCTGCTGTAAGGAATCAATGTTATATTTATTGTGTGCTTTATTTTGTTGTGTTTTTTTTTTCCAGTACCAGGAAAACTCATGACCTTGCGCTTGCCAGGCAGGCGCTGTGCCACTGAGCTAAATCCCCAGCCCTATTGTGTGCTTTAATAGCAGTGATACTATCAAAGGTTTTAACATATGTAGAATATATTAATATATAAGATTTAACATATATTCAGTATTTTTATACATATCACAAGTTTATATAAATCATAGGTGTTAGTATATATCAAATTTTATATACACACACGCACACACACAAAACTGGCTTAGGTACTGAGACACAAACTTCAGTATCTGAAAATGGGGTGAGTGGAATCACATGTACCTGCTATGTATACAAATTCTACCATGTCCCTTAACAGGAACATTTCACAATACTGACCCTGAATACCTAAGGCAAATGGCTTCTTTTTAACTGAGGCAAAGCTATCCAAAAGCTTGTAAGCCACTCAAATTTGGGAATGATAAATCTCAAGTAATTTTAAGATTGATAATTCAATCTTTAAAAGAGCCATATAACGGTCAAGAGACTAGATGCTTACTAATAACAGCTACAACCCAAATAACAGTTTCCTTAGAACTAAGTAGTTTTTCCTATTTGGATTTGAGAGCTGAAAAGAGTGCCTGCTGGTTAATAATTAAGAATGAGTAAATCCACTGTCCTAGGAGTCCCTCTAGGAGGCCTTTGTGACAGCATAAAGGCTATGAAATAAACTGAATTGTACCTGCTGAGTTAATTTTTAATGGGAATCCTGTGTGGATAAAGTCTATTGGCCACTGCTGTCAAGATATTCTAAGTAACACTGCACAGGGCTGGTTTCATTACCCACATGGAGGATCGCAGAGGAACAAGGGCCTCTGCTTTAGATCCTGAAAAAAAAGGCAGAGGAAGGGAGGGAAGAAGGAAGGAAGGAAGGGAAGGAGGGAGGGAGGGAGAGAGGGAGGAAGGAGAAAAGAAAGGTAATATACAGACAGTACAGTACATAAAACACTACTTCTGTTTGGGGCATATTTATATACATGGTGAAAAAAACGTGATAGTATTAATAGATAACCCCCAAACATTACCATGTAATTTAATACACGTATGCTTTCTTCAAAGAGTCCTGCCAAGTCTCTTCACTCAAGAATTCGACTAAGCATTATCTTCCTCTTCCCTTCCCCCACCTCCTTTCTCCTTTCCTTCCTCTTCCTTTTTTTCTTACCTTTCCCCCTTCCTTCTCTCCCCTACCCTCTTTCTTTCATACTCAGGATTGAGCCCAGGGCTTCTAGCACGTGAGGCAAGTGCTCTACCACTGAGCCACACACCCAGCCAAGAATTAGACTGGGCACTTTGAGGCTGTGACTGCTTCTGCTTACTTCTGTACACAGAGTAAGTGCCCAAATAAACCAGTGAATCGATACAGACTTTCACAACGACCTACTAGGGTAAAATCCACTTCTGCCCTCTGAACATCATTTTCTCATTTGTAAAATGAAGGCTTAGACTCAATGAACTTATGCAACTAACTACAAATTCTTTACAAAATGAGAAAAATTTCAATACTGAAGAGAATAATATGCCTACATTGTTAGCACCTAAAAGAAATACAGTATATATACGTATACACACATACATATACAATGGCTTTTAGGAGCCGCATTGAAAGGACAGGTAAAGTATCATTTCAAAATGTAGTCAATATGAAAAGTTCAGATTTTGGAGAGTACTGAATCTCTAGAAGCCAGTGCATAGGTACAGTATAACTAGAAGTTATCTTACTGACTAGCGATGCAAGGCTGGTGGTAATCATACGGTAGAGAACAGCTCTACAGAGGACATGGGTTTCTGTTAGCAGCCATCTGGGGAAAGACACTGTTGCATTCATCTTTCTAATCCAGCCTGGAGCTCAGTGGTCAACAAAATGCTTAGCATGGATGCGGCCTGGATTCAATCCCTGTCGCCTGGACCAGAACAAAAACAAAACAAGAACTAACGCCCCCCACCCCCACAAAAAAACCCTTCAAGATTACTCTTAGTGATTTCCCAATACCTGATTCCAAACAACTTTCCCAATGTTAGTTCCAACATTTACTGGCCTAAATCAGCAACTGTCTCCCTACTTCTCAAATTTCTGTTTACCTACCTATACACTAGTCTCCATTTTTCCGCCAGCAAAAGCCCTTTTTACTGTCTTTCTTTTGCGGGGGGAGAATGGGAAGTTGCAGGGGGATATTAATGTATCAACACTCTTCAAAATGATGAAATCAGCGATTTTTAGTATACTTGCAAGGTTATAAAATCACTCCTAATTTCTTAGTATTTTAGTCACTCTGCAGCCAATTTTACACAGATTAACTCCCCACAGCTCCTGGAAACTACAGTCTTTCCATATGTCCAGATTGGCCTACTCTGAATACTCCATATAAATGGAATCATACAGTATGTGGTCTTTTAAACCTGGCTGCTTTTATTAGAGTAGCTGTTCGGCGTTCCTCCCAGGGTAGAGTAAATCAGACTTCCCTTCCTTCTGGGGCTGAGTTATATTCTGTGTATGGCTATACCACGTTGCCTGCTCACTCATCCGCTGACGGCCATCTGGGTTGCTTCCATGTTTTGGGTTTTATGAATGCTGCTGCCTGAGCACTCATACAAACATGTGGACATGTGCATCCTTTCTCTCTCTCCCGCTACCCTCTCCTGCCTGCTTTCTTCATTCCCTCCACACCCTCTTTCTGGGCTAAGGATTTAACCCAGCGCCTGGAGCATGCTAAGCATGTACCCTACCTTTGAGCTGTATCCTAGCCCAGGACATACTTTCTGTTCTCTTAGGAAGTGGGAGTGAAAATGCTGGCTCATACGGTAATTCTGTTTAACTTCTGGAGGAACTGCCAAATTGTTTTCCATTTTACATCCCCACAAACAATGTATAAAGGCTCTAATTCCTACATATTCTTAAAAACACGTTACTGTAGAGCTGTACTAATTGGTATGACTGTACTTTTCTGAGTTGCTTTTTCTTAATGACTAATGATGGTAAGCATCTTTTCAGCAATTTGTTCCTCTTCTTTAGACAATGTTTGTTTAAGTCCTTTGCTTTTCTGTTTGTTGAGTGAAGTCAGGGCCCAATAAGCTACATTTGGACTCTTTATACATTTTATTTTGGGTGTTACCAAGTTGCCCATGCTGTCATTCTGCCTCAGCTCCCAAGCAGTGATGATAACAGGTGTGCACTTTCCTGCCCAGCTTCCATTTGTTACTATTGTTTTCGGACTCATATCTAAGAAATCAATCCCTCATTCAAGGTCATAAAACTTTATACCTGTTTTAAGAGTTTTTACAGCTTTAAGTCTTACATTTATTTAGGTCTCTGATGCATTTTCTGTCAGTTTTGCATACAATAAGAGGTACAGGACCAATTCATTTCTTTGAGTGTAAATGAGGGAGTCCCAGCATCATTTGTTGAAAAGTACATTCTTTTTTCAATGAATGATCTGGGTACCTTTGTTGAAAATCAGTTATCCATAGACATATGAGGGTATTTCTAGATGCCTCATTCCATTCCTCTTCTCTGTATGAGGCCCCTCAAGTACCACAGGGTTGATTACACTCCCTAGTCTCAAAGTTTGAAATTGGGAAGTGTTAGTCCTCCCACTTTGCTGTTGTTTTTGTTTGACTATTTTCATCCATTCTCCACAATCAGAACAAATCCCTGAGTTTTAACCCAAATAAGCTTTCCTAAATTAGTCCGAAGGGGCTATTCCTCTGACTGCCATGAACCCCCGGCCTCCCGATGCACCTTTGTGTGAACTCAGAGCCCTCGGTGTGTTCACCTTGCCACCCAGTGGAGCGTTCACCTCTGCTTTGCTCTTAACATCAGCAGCTCTCCTCCAACGCCTCAGGGATGTGCAGCTAGCTCGCCAATTTAGTAAGAGATCTCATTCACTGCTGTTGGTTTTAAAACTCTCTTTTCTCTAAACTTCCTGTAACTCTCAAATCACTTGGGTAATACATAAAATAAGACTATCTTCTACAGTTTATTCAATTCATATTACCGCTAGTCTCAGTAACTTTTAATATGCATAAGGTGAACAAAGTTATTATTTTCCCATAAAAATAAGGTTCAAGGGGGAGTGAGTGTGTGTCAGCATATGAAAACAGACCCCTACGTCCATGTTGTTTTTAGTATGGCCTAAGAGCTGAGGGACTGAGGGGTTAATCAAAGTTAAGCATATGTTTAATAATGCAGCCAATCAAGTCCAACAGTGTAAAGTACACCAAAACACTTAAAAGGTTTTTTAAAGGTAGCTTTTATGGAAATCAGACTTACACTGCTAAGTAACACTGCTATTTTTTTAAAGTAAAAACGTAAGTAAGTGATAAACATGCTGCAATATGCTAAATTCTCATTTAAACACGAGAACAATTCTTCAGAGCCATGAGGCAAAAATGAAAGCAGTACCACCCACTTGGGGGCAGCATATCCCTATTGTAAGAGGATTAGCAGAACACATACAAAGAAACACTGTTGTGAAACCCTAATGAACAACATTAGGAAATGCCCAACTCTTACTCCCATGCCACCTTCTGCCAGGGATGGCCTAGTTGAAACAATTTCCCTTGAGGGAGGCACTGGAGTGATAAGGAAGAAAACAGATACCAAAGGGCCTGCCAAACCAGTTGATCCTACCCTGGAAACTAAGAGGCAGCAGAGGAGGGCTGGGTGGATGTGTCAACAAGAACACACACTTCTGCACCCCAGTCCACAAGCACAACTGTCCCGGGCAAAGAATACTGGCCTACAGGCAGCGCCCAGGCCCTCAGGCAATCACATGACTGAGTCGAAGAGATTTTTTTCTTTTCATCCATTTATTAAATAGATGAAGGAAACAATCTCTGATTTGTTAATTATTAAGCAGCAGAATCATACATACTTGTATATGTGCACACATACACGTATTTGTGTGTTCATGATAAAAGTAGATATTCTTAATTCAACAATGTAAATTAAACCTTTTTAAAAAACCAAACTAAGATTTTTAAGCACTGAAAACTAATCCAGCCTTAAACTCAAGTGAAACATGTACCTGATTTGTTGAAGATTCTGCTACGCTGAAACTATGAATGCTAAACTGTTGTAAGGACATTAAGTTAATACTAATTTAACCTACAAGTCATTCAAATCATATACAGGAATCCAAATTTTTAAGCACTGCAATTTCTCTTAATCACTATCAGGACTGCCTTTTTAATTAACGTCCTCCAAGCTAGCTGGAGAAACCGTCATATTCTTCATGTGCTGTGATGGTACGTAAGTACTTCGTATTATCAGCTCACCAACTTACCATCTTTATTTTTTGTCAGACTGTGTAATGACAGCTATTGTATCCTCAAATGTCATAAATCTTTTTTCAGTCAATGCCTTCTTTTTTTGGTCTTGAGACAGGGTTTCACTATGCAGGTCAGGCTGGCCTTGAACTTGCAGTGATCCTCCTGCCTCAGCCTCCAAGTACTTGGATTACAGGAGTGTGCCACCAGCCCCAGTCAAAGCCTTAAAATTTGTTCTGCTTAAGATATATGTAGTATTTTCAGGATTAGCAGCCTGATTTCTTCTTTCTCAACTTATCTCTCAAATCTGCTACTCAGCCTGTGGTTCATGAGTTTTTCTTTTGCCTGTATGGCCTGAAACTGCCCAGATGCTTGATGGCTTCATCCTCTGCTCCTTTTACCCTCCTGCCCTGCCTGAGACCTCCAGATCTTAGGCACAATGTCGCTCACACTTTAAAAAATGAGTACTCTCAATTCTGAAATCTGATTGTTTCCACCCTACTCTAGCCGTATTACCTTTCTTGGTCTAAAGCAACAAACATACCTCTGTCAGAATGATGAAACTGACAGCTTTGACACTACCCTTTCTTACTTGCACTGTCCAATGGATAACTGACTTGACATTTTTTCCCATTTATCCTTTAAACATATCCCTCATCCCTCCCTGTCCTTAAATTTTTCTATTTAACTAAAATTAAAAGTTGTACACTTACAGTATTTATGAATTTCTAATAATATGCTATGTAAACTAGAATATTTATGTGGGTCACATAACAGGCTTGCTACGGCAAAATCTACACATAGACACATTATGTCCAGTATTTGTTGGACATGAAGTAAATCAAGGGGAATTAGCTCATTTTCTGCAGATGTCCATCCACCATATGCATGCCGTGCATAACGGACAGGGTCAGTGGCCAGGGCATCTTCCCTTTGAGCCACATGATGGGCGGAGTGACGCAGTGCTCATCTTTGGGCTTACTCTTTCAGTATCCTCCCTTGGTCAGCACCCTGGGAGAACATGACTAAGTGCAGGTGATTTAACCGCCTCCTACCTGGCCTCCTCTGCTGCCTCATACTAAGGTCTGCACAGACATGCTTACGTCTTCCCAGATCATTCTGATCCACCTGGTGGGGTCATAATCAGCATGGGAAGAGCGCAGTATCATGAGCTGTGAGTACAGGTACATGATGCGACTACGTCTTGTTGCGGATGGGCAAGAGGGGCGCCTGCCAGCCCAGCACGGCCGTCTCCCAGTAACCAGGCAAAAATCCACAAGAACGAGGTTCCCTGCAAACCAAGCCCCAGTTTGCTTGGAGATGAAAATTTTTTTTTTAAGATTTAACTGGCCAAAATAACGAAAGAGAACTGCATAACACTGCACAGTCATTTAATTATATTTTTCAAACAGAATGAAGTTTGAGTTTTCTGTTTATACTGTGTATGTATTAAATGGGAAGTGTCTCCCAACAGTCAATTAAATTCTTAAAGTTATGTAGTATTCTGTTCATAAAGAAAACATAAACACATGTGGGATTTTTTTTTTTTTGGTACCAGGAATTGAACTCAGGACCTTGCATTTGCCAGGCAGACACTTGTGCAGCTGGGCTACATCCCTGGCCCCACACGTATGTTCTAAGCATTCTATTTTTAAAGCATCCACCCAGGCTGGAGTCTGGTCTACAACACTGAAGCGCTGATAAAAAAAAATACATGCTAGTTCATATACAAACCTTGCAGATCTTCGGTTTCAGGTGCTGCTTTGTCCACAGACGTACTGTCCACCTGGGATGATGCTACAGATTCGGGTAACAGTGGCTGATTTGATACAGAGCTAGAAAAGCAAAAATATTTCCAGTTTTTAGGGCTGGGTGTGGTGATGCACACCTGTAATCCCAGCACTTAGGAGGCTGAGGCAGGAGGATTGTTGGAAGTTTGAGACCAGCCTGGGCCACAAAGTGAGCTTAAGGCCATCTTGAACTGCATAGTGAGACCTTGTGTCAAAAAGGCCAAAAAAAACCCAAGAACTTTATTATTTTTATGTTTCTGAAAAATGTTTTGCTCTTTGAAAATAGCAGTAAGTAATACAACCATGGTTAATTTCCTACAACTTTGTCTGTAACTATTTTGTTTGTATTGTTCTTATGCTATTTTGTAAATGGATGTCTGTTAATGTTTTCCTTATTTTTTAAAATAAAAAAAAAAGAAAAATGTTTTGCTGTAAGATAGCATCTCACTGTGTTGCTTCAACTTCTCTTAAACACAATCCTCCTATCTCACCTTCCCCAGTGCTAGAACCTGCCCCTGCACTATGAAATATTTCTATCTGGAAAGATGATCTCCACACGTGACTATTTTTTAGGATTTTTTTCGAACTTTTATTAGTACATGTTTGCAGTACATGATAATTACATTCACTTTAGGGAACTGGTACCAGTACATAACACATTTCAATTTATTCCTCCACCCCTTTTATTTTTCTAGCAACAGACCATATACAGTCATCCCTCGCTATAGCATAGTTCACTTATTGCGGCTTCAGTGCATCACAGGTTTTAAAAAAATATGTATCTAATTCTATATTGCGGAATTTTCACTATATTGTGGGATTCTGCAGTATGTAGATATTTATGTAATATGATTTTAATTACTTGCCTAAAAATTTTAAATATGAAAAATGTTAATTCAAACATATTAAAAGAACATTAAGTCGAAGTAAAATACAGTATGTATTTCATCAGCAGATGAATACCATACAATACACAATGGAAATGCAGTACATGACTACCACTTCTGCAAGTTTGCTAACGTGAGACTGTACACAGCACACTACTGGCTGATAGAATGGAAGGCAACCAACCACAGCACTGTGCTCTGTATCCTGGGTGCTGATTGGCTCAGTGACTGTAGCATTCGTCTTTGTTCTACCACACTGTATCCATACGTTCAGCATCTCTCCTTGTTCACTTCACATTGAGTAACCATATAGAATTTTACGTGTAAAAATAACAGGTTTAAGAGTGTAGAAAGTGTTTAAGAGCATAGTAAGTGTTTATGTAAGAGTGTGGGAAAGGTTAATGGAAGAGTGGGAAAGGCTTATAGGAGTGTGCAAAGGGTTTATAAAGCCTTAAAATATATATAAACAATAAAATAAATATAACATCTCTACTTCACAGATTCTCACCTATCGCAGGGGTCTCTGGAACGTAACTCCCGCAATAGGTAAGGGATCAATGTATAAGACCATATAGACTTAATTATCATATGTACAGAATAAAAATCACTAGTAGGCCAAAGAACATATAAAACACTTAAGAACATATAAGACAATTGTACTAAGTCAAGGTACACTTTTTTTTAAAGACAGGGTTTCTCTGTGTAGTGCAGGCTGATCTTGAACTCACGTACGCAGCCCAAGCTGGCTTGAAACTCAAGGCAATCCTCCTACCTCAGCCTCCAAGTGTATTAAGCTACACTTTTACTTTTTTTTTTTTGTCTTTTTGAGACAGGGTCTCGCTATGCAGTTTGGGTTGCCCTTGAGCTCACTTTGTGGCCCAAGCTGGTCTTGAACTCACAATGATCCTCCTGCCTCAGCCTCCTGAGTGCTGGGATTACAGGCGTGCACCACCACACCCGGTCAAGCTACACTTTTAGAGACACTATCTCCACTGGATTATAATACCTTTTCTTCTTGCTCTTTTTCCTATTATCTGTCTTTTAATGTCATAGTTTATATGAACATATATATGTTGAGTTTTTCATGTAAGAGAAACCACGCATATTTATTTAAGCTTATGTGTCTGAGTTACTTCAGTCCACATGTGACTATTAACCAAGGCAGAAAATAAGTGAAGTTACCTGAGTGTAACAGTGCACAGAGGCAGTTGTTTCTAACATAATCATAGAGCTTTGAAACAAGACAGGAATGTGGACCAGAAATCTGTGCTTTACAAAGAAAGCAACGGTGCAATTCCTTTGTGTATTTCAAGTACCACATGAATCCATGATGTGAAAACCAGCATGATAAAGACATACTTAAGGTCCCTAAGGCAAAGCTGCAAGTGATAGTCTGTCATAACAAAACCAAACATCTACCATAAATTGGAAAATGGAACTGTAGTATAGCAACTTAGTATGCTTGTCACTAACAGAATAAAACTGAAACATATATTTCTGTTCACAGCCTTCTCACTCTGACTTAAAAACATAAAACAAATAGGAATGCTGTATCATGGCATTCAACATAGTATGTGACAAGACTTTTTTTAAAAATGCAAAACACTAATTCTTGCAAACTATGACTGAAATTTGAAGAGTTCACCCCGTGTACTTCAGAAGAACTTCAGGTGTGGGTCAGGATATGGTAGAGGAAGAATAAAGAAAAAGATGGTTGAAAAGGAAACCAAAGACTGAAAAGCTCCCCCCACGTAAAAACAATGAAACTCTTTTTCTAACTGGTGAGTATAAATGGACACAATGTGACACGCTCACGCGGCTTTACGTAGTCTTCCCGACAGACCTGCACAGCCCCCGTCCAGAGCCCGCCTTACCTTGGCTGCACGCATGAAGATGTAGAGGCCAGCACTGACGGAGGCTCTGGGACACTGCCGTCTGTGCACTGGGCCGGTAACGCTTCAGACAGACTGCCGACAGAAGCCGCTGTAACAGTACCGATGTCATGTTAGTGATTCTACATGCTGGGCCTGATCTAAAAGATGGAATCAGCTTTCCAGAATATACAGTGTATGGACTTTGTCTTATAGGATCTGTTGGTTCATGCTTTTTATTTATTATTTTTTTTAATGAACCTTGGGTCTTCAGCGTGAGCTACATCCCCAGACTCTTACTCAATTTTTGAGATAGGAGCTAAGTCACTAAATTGCCTAGGCTAAACTCTAACTTGTGACCCTCCTGCTTCAGTCTCCCAGCGTTTGGCTTGTAAGCACGCACAATGATGGCTGGCTTGTCGCCTTACTTTCAGTTAACAGCTTTGTAATGCTGTGATTTGCCTATGAATTCATTTTTCCGGTGCTGGGCACTGAATCCAGGCCGTCAGCGTAGGCTCTAACACTGAGCTATACCCTTAGCCCCCAAAATGCTAAAATACCTTTTTTTTAAGTGTAGTTTTTTTGTTTGCTTTTCTTTCTTTGCCACTCCCCTTCCCCACACCTTTGTTCCTTTATCTCTGGAAAAAATGTTAACCAAGAAGAAAACCGTATTTATAAACTGCACATATTAATAAACTAAACACCTGCTTCTTAGGACTATCACCCAAACCCCAAGCGTTTAATTCACAAACGCTTTCTAAGTCTCAGTGTACAAATGGGATGTTTAAAGTAAAAGATAACTTAGTTGAACTCACAACTAGGTTCATAAAGAACTAATAATTAGGTTGTACTTTGACTACACTTCGTAAGAAACAAAGACAGACAATTATTTAGTTTAAAAACAATTCAGGTTCATTTGATCTTAGCCTTAAGAAAATTTTGAGATTTTGATGAAATGGTTCTATATTTTTGCTTGAACATGAAACAATTATAAGACTCCATATAATTTAAATGAACTAAGTAACAGCTTGTATTTTCATGTTAAGACTATCCTATCTGAATAGCTTTGACACTCTTGTTTAGCAAAGTTTATACTCAGAATCCTCACGACCCTTCTTGCACAACTGCTGAAACAGAAGACCACCTCAATTCCAGGACAATCCTTTCACACAAAAAGGCATAAAAAACCCAAGTGAATGGGCGCTGCACACTGCTTATGTGATTAATTGGCCACATTCCTCCTTTCTAATGGAAGTAGGCTTTTTCTAAGGTCAGCTGTGGCTATGTATAAACGCCATCTATCTAAAAACTCTTTCCTTCAACAACTACCTTGGCTGCAAAAGTCCCTGCACATAGAAAAACCAAAGTCCCCTTACAGGCCACACTCCTTTACTTCACTGTCCAAGATAGCTCCATTAACTTGAGGTGTGCCTCTGTTTTTGTAGGGTGATAAGAGTTCTCACAGCACAGCGAGTAAGACTATGGAAAGACTTCACAGTATTTACAAAGAGCAAGGGATACTCTTATTTCTGACTCACCCCTACTGATCATCACAATGTGTGAGAAGAAATTTCACTGAGATGAAGGTGGTAAGGCAAATACAATGTGAGAGCAGAGAAAGGAACTGGACTGCCCAAATGTATGCAAATTATGAATAATGCTGTGTTTTAACACAGTTACTTACCAGGTGGACTTATTCTACCACTACTACTATTCTGTCGTTGAAGATGTTCTTTGTAGCAAACCGAACACATGCCATTTGTACGAGGGTTTCCATAAAATCCGCAGCCAGTGGAACAAAGCATAGGCACTTGGCTGTGATTCGTTTCTTGAGCCATGTTCCTCTGGTGTACACCTGAAATTTACACAGAATTAGCAAAGAACTCACGTACTTCAATTGTACATTATCCAAATCTCCTTTCATAATCAGGGAACCTCCCTCATTGTACTCTCCTCACACCACTCTATGTAGCTGATCCAAGACCTCGGGCTGATAAAGACCAATGACATACACTGAACTTTCATCTCCAACCCACTCTACACAGACGACTGGACTGTCCTAACTCAGAAAGTATGAGGTGTGACTGAAAAATACAGTTAATGTTTGCATTTTAAAAATCTGTTACGATAAGACATTGCCATTATTTACCCTTAAAATATTCCCCCTCACTTCAAACATACTTATCCCATCCTTCTTGCCACTTTCTGAAGCAGTTCTGGAAGTCCTTTTGTAAGTGTCTACAGCTGTGTTGCTGTGGCTGCCTCAGTGTCCTTCGACTCTGAGGAAGTGAGAAGCTAAATCCAGTGAACAGGTGGACAAGGGCACTGTAATGTTTTCACAACCGTCTGTTCATTGGATGTCATTTAGTAGTGGCATTTACCATATTTTTTATTATACCTTATAAAAACATGAAAGAGTTCCAGAAAGTGACAAAAATAATGAGAATAGCACATTTCAAGCAAGGGGAAGTATTTTGAGGGGAATTAATGACAGTGTTTCTTTTATTATAATAAAAAATTCACCATATACTTTGATCGCCTCTGTATAAAGAATTCCTACAGAAAGGGAACTTTTTTGGAGACTGTACCATCTTAACTCAGTCTCTCTCAACTTGAGACTCTTCCAGTAATGAGAAATACATATTACAGGTTTTGCAGCATGTTATACTATTTAATTTCCAACCATTTAAACTTTTACTCAAAGTTCAGATGTTAACTTGTGCAATTGTCTGTTTTAAAAAACATTTAACATAATATTGATTCTGGTGCAGATGAGAAGAGTTGGGCAAAATTCTAGTGAAATGAGAAATCAGTTCAATCGTTTGGAAAGCAATTTAGCAATTCACCTCAAGAGCCCAGTGAAAAACAAATATTGTTCTCTGAACCAGCCATTCTCCTTTAAGAATCTTCTATAGAACTAAAGTATAATCAGAAAAAGAGCAAAGGAAATGCTTCATAGCATATTTATAAGGTTGATAAACTAAAAATATTCTAACTGTCCAACACCAGGAGAATGGACTTATTAAAATTATGATTCATATTAATAATAAAAGTTATGCAGTCATTAATATTTTAAAATAATTTCTGATGGAAAAATGCTGGTAACAAGTGCAATAATAAAATGTGTGTATATTTAATATATGTATGTTAATTAGGACTAAAAGAGCATCTGTTAGTCACCAAAAAGGGCAGCAGAGATCATGTCCCATGACTGCAAAAGCAATGATTTTTTTCCTGATTTGTACCTTTTCTGTACTTTTAAAATTCTTTACAATGAAGATATTGCTTGCCTAACTGCGGAGAAAATTTATTTTTTAAGTACCTGAAATTTTAAAAACTAAAATTAAAAACTAATGAGGAAGAAGCATCAGTCAAGTATGTGGTGCTGGGACTCGAACTGTCTGGGATCCACATGAAGGCAGCGATCCATCACAGCAGATGGAAGAACCCCATGTGCCATTTCTCCTATGAAGCAATTGGCTCTTTGGCATAAATAACGAGACAGACGGTAATAACAGGCTCTTCGTTATTAAAAAAAAAAAAAAAAAAAGCAACTACTACCTCCTAAATGCAGGTTACTTCAGAACGAGTGCCTGTGTATTACAGATGAGTTTATGTTCAAAGATCACAAAGAATGAGACTAACCAGAAGAGGGAAATGTTTTGCCATCAAAATTTTTTTGAACTGATAAACACGGAGGGAAAGCGTTCCTTGTTTTTTTCAACTAAACTGTTAAAAAGACTGTTGGGAGGTGGGGAGAAGTTAAAAACATTTCAGAACGAAGTCTTATAAATACACACAGCAAATTAAAAGGTGATGATGGTACAGCAAAGCTTGTTTCAAATACCTTTTCTTTTTTGGCCTATGGTCTTGAGGAATATTGGTCTGTAGCTTTCTTCTTAGAATGTTTGTCTGGCTGTGTTATCAGGGTAACTGCTTACTGTCATGAAGCTAATTAATAAGTGATGGAGCTGGGATTTGGTCCAGGTAGTCTGGCTACAGCAAAGTCCACGATCTAAACCAGCAGTTCTCAAAGTGTGGTCCAGGAACCCCTATGGAGGTCAAAACTAGTTTCAGAATACACTAACAAGTTGTTTGCCTTTTTTTTTAAATCATACTGACATAAGCAATAGTGGTATAAAAAGTAGTGGATAAAACAGCTGGTGCCTTAACAGAGAGCCACACAAAGGTAATGGCATCAAACACTACTGGTAGCTGTGCTCATCATGTTCTTATGGTGAAAAGCATTAATTTTATTAAATCTTGTCCTGTGACTAACTGGGAATCATGTATGAGGCACTCCTGCTACACAGAGAGAAGTAACAACTGTCTAAAGGAAAACTGCCTGGGCAGCTGTTGAAACTATGAGCTGGCTGAATTATCTTTTTCACGGGATACTTTCATTTGAAAGAATAACTGATGGTCTAATTTTCTCTACTGAAATGTATGGCAGACATTTTCTTGAAAATGAACAAAGTGAATCTGATAATCCAAGCAACTAAAAGCATTCACCACCAAGGACAAACATTCAAGCACTGAAAGAAGAAAAAAGGGTAATGATGTCCAACAGTGGAGTGTTTTTGGTGAGACTGGTGGCGGTATTAATGAAATGTGATTAGCTCGTATTGAATCAACATTTGAAAGATCTTCACAAGTCAGTAAACTATTATCTTCTAAGTACCCAATGTAGGAAACTACAAAATTATTCATGAACAAAAGATCTATTCAAAGTGAAAGACCAATGAGTGTTACTGATGATAAGACCAAAAAAAAAAAGGATAATTTAAGAAACAATCAACTGGTACAACCACTTCTATTATCTGAAAACACTGTTAAGATAATTCTTTCCTTTTCCAATTATGTATGAGCCTAGATTTTCTTTTTTTTGTTTTAATTTGATTAGGCAAGGAAAACATTTTATTTATGCATTCTATTTTTAAGCATAGTCACGGTTTTTCAAAAGTATCAATTTATAAACATAAAGGTTCAAATTTCCATAGCACAAATACCCTCCATCACTGTCAAAACAGGAGTTTCAAATTACTGTTTTTTTGGTATCGGGAATCACACTCATGACCTTGCTCTTGCTTGGCAGGTGCTGTGCCACTGAGCTATATCCCTGGCCCTCAAATTATTTTAAGGTTTAGGAAAAACAGCATCCAACTTTTTAAGATTTAGGTCAAGTGCTTGGGTAAGAATTTCTTACACAAGCATATGGTGGTTAGGTCCAACACAGTGTATTACAGAACCAATCCAGCAAAATGGAACATTTCTAAGGGAAGTATTACCTTTTATTTTGGGATGTCAACATTTCTAATATGGGAGTCAAGGTCTTTTTGAGACAGGGTGTTGCTAGCAGTTCAGGCTGGGCTTGAGCTCACTTTGTAGCCCCGGCTGGTCCTGAACTTGCAAGGATCTTCCTGCCTCAGCCTCCTGAGTGCTGGGATTACAGGCTTGTGCCACCACACCCGGCTTTTTCTTCTTACCTTTCCTCCCACAGACAGCCCCAGTGGTTTACGTATGGAAATTACACTGAAGAGATAGTGGGTCAGGGGTGAGGCACTAAAAAGCAATTAGTGCTCAGTGGTCTAGCATTTGACTAGTTTTAGTCGAGCCTAGATTTTCTTGAGCAGTGCTGGCATCTGAACTTTGGGTCTCAAGAATGCTAGGCAAGTGCTCCATCCCTGAACTACATCCCCAGCTCCAGATTCTTTCTAAAACCCATAAAAGAACAGAAGCTAGTATGAGAATCCTGCTATTAAACCTGACCTTAAGATGATTGGCGGAAATGTGTTAACAATGCTACTCATCACTAAAGAGAGTGTATGTATATGAGAGGGGGAATATATTTTTCTTAAAACCTTTTAAAACTAATTAGTAAGTAATTTTTTCTTATAGCTTCATTTGTAATATAATAAGTTGCACTAGACGTAATCCTTGTAAACAAAAGCGCTTCCTGGTATTCACTAATTTTAGAGAACATAAGATCCTGGAACTAAAGAGTTTGAAAACTCTGCTGCAAAATGTGCATTCTCAACACAGGCAGTGGCACCTCCAAGAGGCAAACATTGATTCTTTGAAGAGGGGAAGCACTAAAAGTCCCTGGCCCTTTATGTATAAAACCAGAAATACCTACAACATATGCATAGATATATAGTATTATCTATGGATTTAAACTTTTATAGAGGTGGGGACTAGTTAGAAAAAAATTGCTTAAAAAGGCTCCTTGGGGTGACTTGTAATACAGAAAGAAGATTAGCAAACACGAGTCTAAACCATCAACTATACTGGGCTACCTATTATTAACATTAGAATACTGTAAGATAGGAATTAAAGGAAGCTTCCTGCTGATACTGATAATCTTTCAGTATTATGGCGAGCAACCATAAAACACCCAGACATGATAAATATTCTACTTGTATAAAAACTCAAGTACAGTAAGTAGCTACAGATAAAAAATACCATACTTACTTCAAAGGAGAGAGATTAAAATTCAAAAACATGTTAACAAGAGCAGTTTCCCCCAGCCAAACTTTCTTGTACAGCAGAAAATTAACTGATTTTCATAACTCAAGAGGTATGGAGTTCATAGAAAACTAAAAAACAATCAACCTTATTTACTCATCTTCAAGACACAAAATGTACCTCTGTGTGAAGATTTAGAAAGGCCAAAGACCATCAGCGTTCTGAGTTTACCCGAGTGTGCGCTGGCCCCAGTGGGTGGCCACAGACAAGCTGGAAGTCCTGCTTCCCCCGGCTTACTACGCCACCTTTCTGGGGGGTGAACAAGGTACTGAGCACATCAGTCAGGTGTCCAAATGATCATGGAGGAAAATGGGAATGAGAAGGAGGCAGAACAATTAATTGCTGTCCTGTGGGATTCTGAAGCTAAAATCCAAGGAAAGAATAGGAACACACTACTAGACATATATACAAAATCAATAAGGATGGTATTAATAAGTTTATGAAGAGAATTCATAAAACATGAGTTTTGATTCATAAACCCATCACACATTAGTCCCTCAGGCTCCCCAGACAATACTTAATAGTTTTCCAGAGTTTACTATGGGGCAGGCACTATTTTTATTGTTTTATTTATATATCATTTAATCCTTCCAGGAACCTTCCGTATTGGCACTACTGATATCCTTGTTTTAAAAAACGAGGAAAATGACACTGAGAGTAACTGGTCCCAAGGTCACATATCTAGTAAGCAGCTAAGTACTTTTATTTATCTTAAAAAGAAAGAGAATGACTGTTCAAGTCCATCATATATCTCCATAAACCTACAATTCTGTGAGCATTCATGAATTATTATTTTAAGATTTAAAATTCATTCATTTGTTCAATCTTCAGATATTATTTAGCTTTAATTAGCTGTAACTGCTCTTGAGAAAATGTTTTTTTCTTTATGTCTTTTTACCTAAGGAAAGAATTCAAGATTAAATATTTTATGACTGCAAAGAAAATTTATTACTATTAAAATTTTGATGAGGAGCAGCAATGAATGTATGGAACACAGACTCAATTATAATGGCAAATTATAATGGCAAATGCATTATCTCCCTTTGCTTCATTTCCTGGAGTTGTCACTAAGTTCCAATAATTTTTCATCTGAAATATCTCACGTTCTTTTACTTTTCATTCCAATTGTGCTTCTCATCCTTTCATACCTGGGGGATTTTTGTTGCTGTTTTTGTGCTAGGGGCTGCAGCAGGGCCTTGTGCAATGACATAAGTATTATTTAAAGTTTTTCTTGCAGATTTACTGCTTCTCCTCCCAGTCCATTTACTTCAGTTCTTCTGAAGCACCCAGTTCTGTTTCAGTGATTGTGCAACTGTCCCCAGAGAAGAGTTCTCAACCTAGAATTCATGCTGTCCATAATTTCCCCAACCAGACTAAATTTCCTTGAAAAGTATGCTGTGTGAAAAGAGACTCCTTGGACTTAGGCTCGCAGCAATTCAAATCCCAGCTTTGTCATTTTTGTTGGTTTGTTTTGCAGTACTGGGGATTGAATCTAGGGGTGCTCTACCACTGAGCTACACCCAACTGCTGTTCATTTTTTATTTTCAGACGGGGTCCCATTAAATTACCCGAACTCCCTTGAATTTGGATCCTTCTCTCTCAGCACACCAGGCATGTGCCACCATGTCTGGCTCGCTTTGGCATTTTATTACCTGAAAGAGCCTGAACAAGTTCTAAGCCACCCTGGCCTCAACATCCTAAGAGGGCACTAACATCCTCTACTTCACCAGATTAAACAACGCATACACAAAGCATCTAGACAGAGGCTGGCACACAGCAGAAGCTCAGTAACTGCTCTTAACTCAGCTCTGCCTGAAAGCAAAGGCCCTTTGCTCCCTTCCAAACCACACTCATTCCTAGAAACACAATTCTAGCTCATATAAATGCTCTTTGTACTCTGCCTTTAACAATTTGATCTGTTTACAGAAATCAGAAAGAAGCTGGCTGTACCCTCTTTGGGGGCACTTTTCCTATGAGCTGAAGGCCTTGTACACACACAACTCATTTCCTAGCTAAACTTCAGTTCCTTCTTCAAATCTGCTTTATTCCTAATATGAATTTCTACAATACATCTTACTGGGTAAGTATTCATGTTAGGGGGAAAATGATTACTTTCCTTTGAAAAGGGGAGAAACCAGACTGAGGAAAACTTTCACACTGTTTTCACAAACAGTTATTCAGCAAGAATGCCTAGGAGCCTAAGGCAGTTATAAAATGCCTATCTATTTTTTACACTTTATTGCTTTTCTTCTCCTCCTAAAGGGAACAGATAGGGAGCGTAATTTATAATGAGTCTGAAGTTATGAACTGATCAGCCTGGATGAAATCTGACTCAGTCATGTCTGACTGGCCAGCACATATTATATTTTAAATTAGTTGTTAGCATTCAACAATTGGGGAATGTCACATAAAAATTAAAGATTTCTAGATTTTCTTGAAAATCAAAGACCTGAAAAATTCTATTCTCAAAATTAACATTCACCAGCTAGGGCCCTATTAAGTGTGGCCTATACACTCCACCCACTTT